TTTTAATGACCTTTCCTCTTCTAATGTATTCTTCCTTACTTCTGAATGATCCTAGCCAAAAAACTCAAATTCTTAAACACCATAACCAAGGTAGTGTTCCAGGTTCGAAATCTAGATAAGCCATTCATTAAATTAATTCCGATTTATCAAAGATAATTAGTTTTACTTTTCTCCGATACTACCATGTTCTTAGAATAGTGTGTGCTCCACAGTGGGCAATCAATAAAAACTCTTGGATGAATAAGGCACTACACGAAGCTGTAGCAAATGGAAAGTACTGTGAACTCATTTGTAGTCTACTGAAGTCTTCAGATATGAACCAGTAGTAAAGAAGTTTTTTAAAAAGTTTGAGGCTGCAGTGAGCTCTAATTGTACCACTGTACTCACTGCAGGCTGAGCAACAGAGATCTGTCTCTAAAAATAATAACTGTAAAATAATTAAAACAACTTTCTGATTCCCCCTTTTCAGGAATTTGAAACTCATCTCTTAACATTTGTTCTCTTGACTTACAGCATTTATTTTAGTTTGCTTCCTACTGTTTTCTACCTGAGAAGCTTTTTGAAACCTTGAAACCTGATTTTTTTTTTTCTTTTCTTTTTTTTGAGACGGAGTCTCGCTGTGTCGCCCAGGCTGGAGTACATTGGTACGATCCTGGCTCACTGCAACCTCCACCTCCTGGGCTCAAGCTATTCTCTGCCTCAGCCTCCTGAGTAGCTGTAATTACAGGTGCCCACCATCACACTGGGCTAATTTTTGTATTTTTAATAGAGACAGGGTTTCACCATCTTGGCCAGGCTGGTCTTGAACTCCTGACCTCATGATCCACCCGCCTCAGCCTCCCACAGTGTTGGGATTACAGGCATGAGCCACCGCACCTGGCCTCATCTTATATTTCAAAACGTTTCTGATTAAAGCAAAAATCTTTATTTCTAATTCCAGATGGAAGATCTTTCTGATGAAGTCTTCTCCCTAAGGCACAAAAAATATGAAGAGAGAGAGCAAGCCAGATGGTCATTATGGGAGCAAAGCAAGTGGCATAGAAGAAACAGCAGGCAGGTTACAAATTTAAAACCCCAAACCATAGAATCCATGTGAAATGAACAAAACCTCTGCATGAATTTTGGGGGAGACCACTAAAAAGGAAAACATGATGATGTAACATCAGCTATTTGTGCATAGAATGAGCTTATATTCAAAATATATTTGAACTAATTATATGATGCTAAAATTAGTTTCTGTATTTTACTATGGTTCTTAATGTTGTCAGCCTCAGGAATAGATTTAACTAACAAATAATGTGAAAATTCTCTGTGTATATAAAGTACGTCATTTCGATCAACTTTTACAGTGGACCCAACACTGGGGACTGGAGTTTAAGTAATCCATTTTAACATCACTACTTCCAAAATACGTCTTCCTTTAAAAATAAAAAATTTCTCAAGAAACCTGTTCAGTCTAAAAAGTCTAAAATACTTTTAGAAACACAAATGGGCTTTAAGGGAGGGGGAAATAAATCAGACGTGATTATTATATATATGAGAAAATCCCTGGTATTTTATATTTATTACACATTTGATCATTTTTAATATAGTCAAAACTCAAAAAGCAAGATTGTGTGAAGTCTGATAGTCACTTTAGTTAAGGAGCATCTTTCATTTAATTAGTCAGACAAAACATAAAAGCAAACAAATACACAACAAGAACAAAAAAACCCCACTTATAATTGCGTAAAATATTTCATAAAGTGTTATTTCATCCTCTTGAGTATGAAAATCATAAATAGCATCAGGAAGATCACCAGAGGAATTTTTTTAAATCTTTTGGGCAAAAATATTTAAAGTTACCAAGTTAACTTGACTCAGTGATACCTTGGGTTGTTCATACATTTTCAAAAAATGCCAAATAATTGTGTTTTCCTCATTTTCTTGCTAGAGCTTACAGTAAAAATGCTGAAGGACAGGACTTGCTTTTGAAAGAATACCCTAATGTCTTTAGTAGCAGTCAGCAATGTGCTGCTGCAAGTCCTTCTGAGCTTCTTTCAGAGAACCATGATCTGTGTGCACATGGCTTACCTTCTTTAAGTGAACGTCAAGAAACCAAGGTAAGTGTAATATATATAATTAAACTCCCCATTCCTTGGCTTTTAACTACTTGTTTGTATAAACTACTTTTTACAAATTAAGTTTCTAACATCATTACATAACAAATTCAGTAAGAAGATCTGTATTCCACCATTTTGCGTCCACCAGTAACTACAATCGCCTTGTGTAACAAGTCAATTCAAACTTCCACATATCTATTAGAGAATGGAGGTACTATCAAAGATTCATTACAAAACAAACCTGATTAGTGAAGAATAGAACCTGCTACATGGGCCAAAGTTAGCTATTTCTTTCTCCTCATATCTAAGATTTTTACATGCCTCACCAGACCTAGTTTAGTTCCCACCTCAAAGGGATTGCTTTCTAACACTGTATCCATAAAGTTCTGATACCTTTCTTTGTAAATAGATATTGAAAAAGAACTAGATCTAGAATGGAGGGAGTAGATTATAGAATTAATAGGCAAGTTGCAGAAAGCTAAGGAAATAAAAAGTTAATAGATAGCTTTAAGAATGAAAATGAAGGCCGGGCGCGGTGGCTCAAGCCTGTAATCCCAGCACTTTGGGAGGCCGAGGGGGGTGGATCACGAGGTCAAGAGATAGAGACCATCCTGGTCAACATGGTGAAACCCCGTCTCTACTAAAAATACAAAACATTAGCTGGGCATGGTGGCGCATGCCTGTAATCCCAGCTACTGAGGAGGTTGAGGCAGGAGAATTGCCTGAACCCAGGAGGCGGAGGTTGCGGTGAGCCGAGATCGTGCCATTGCACTCCAGCCTGGGTGACAAGAGTGAAACTCCGTCTCAAAAAAAAAAAAAAGAATGAAAATGAAGATATTGTACAAGTAATCAAACCTAAAAACACTTTCAAAAGGGGCTTTCCCAAAGTGCTCTTAGATTGGAAATAAAGACCACTGCCTATGGCAGCATTTCCTCTTCTTGGCAGAGGCAAAGTAAAAAAATGATTCCCAAAAGTCACTAAACAATTCTCAATATATTCCATTTTGAGATGCTAGACATTTAAGTTGAAATGAAAATTTGTACATTTATGTGCTAAAAGAACAGAACAAGTTATTACAGTATGGGCATTTACAGATTACTTGTTAGATGAGTTTAAACAAATTAGTTGAAACTTAACTGAAAATGTTTCCCCTTTCAGTCTTTGTGGTGGGAACGACGGGCTTTTCCACTGAAGGGTGAAGACATGACAGCCTTATTATGTCAAGATGAAAAAAAGGATCAGGTTGAAAGGTCAAGCACAGCTTTCCATGGTGAAATCTTCTGTACCAATGTACCAGAGAACGGCCACCATCCAAAAGAGCAGTCAGATGGAATGGAAGAATACAAAACCTTTGGTCTAGGACTTACTAATGTTAAAAAAAGTAGGTGACAGGGAACAGGTTAAGAAAACTATGTAAATGTAGGAAAGACAGGAGGAAATAAAGCCCTGTTCTGGATCCCCCATCCCCTTCAGAATGAGAGCATGTTCTGCATGTATTAATCTTTTATGCTGTTTAAGAAACAGGCAAGATAAGTCTGTTTTTCCTTCTGGAACCACAAGGGTAACCAGCTTTTCATCTACAGACAAGTGGTAGTCATTTGTGTTTATCATGCAACTTACAAACACCAAGATATTAACTGCTTCAATTTGATGTCAAATCACATTACTGGGTAATTTTAAGACTATGTACCCACATCATACATACATACATATATATATACACATACATACAAACTTGTGCGCCAAGTGACAGCTATTCCTTGTTTATATACATGGTAATTCATTAAAATTGCCTTAGTAATATATTAGAATATATAAATATATGTGTTTAAAATAAATATACATACATCCCCCCAATGTAGTTTTAAAAACACTGGTAATGACCCACTCCACTTGGAAATGCATGTATGAACTACTCTATGAAATGTAAGCTGCAGTATATATAAAACACAGATTTCCACTCATAAAAGACATCTAAACATCTTGAATATAGAGACGGAGGGTTTTGTTTTTTTTTTTTTTTTTTTTAGTTTTTTAACATGTTTAACCAATAGAAGTTATTTACAGAAATTCATATACCAGATAATACAAAACTCCTTTATTCAAAATCACTGATATCTTTTGGACTAAACACAGGCTTTCTGTTTACTCCCAACAGAATAAAGCAAGCAAACAAATCTGAGTTAAATATTGGTGCACTTTAATACTATCACATCTTTGAAAACTCAATTTGAGTTTTACCTATTTAATGTGTCTCATGAAGACACCAATTTAAAATGAGCCGCAAACAGTAAAGTCCTATCAGTAAAAAATTTGGAAAAAAAAAAAAAAAAAAAGATGATTGTATTTCTAGATTAGCAAGAAATTAGTAATTCTGGCTGATTAATATTTCTAGCTAATTTGGTCATTCTTTGCCATAGCTTACTCTATTCAAATAAACATCTATTCTTACCTGCATCCTAGATTGGGAATTAAAATTTTTCAAAGGACAATGTTTCAATATTGGATACTGAAGAGTATACATTAAAGAAAATTCTTTCTGAAGTTATGAAACCATTTTATTCTATGTGAAAGTTGAGGACAATTTATATATAAATCACTTTTTGTCATGTAAAAAAGGTTATTCAAGTTTAGTACCTACATAACTGAAAATATTGGCCATTTGGCCTAGTCTGTGAGATTTGACACTAAGTTTTTGTTAGAGATTGAAAATTCTACTAGTCCTTTTAAGGGGTAAAAAATTCAAATTCAATACTAACAAACTTTTGCTTGTAGTTTTACTGTACATTTATTTTTAAAGAAAAAGAAAACAAAAGCAAGACAAACCCAAGTTGTCCAGGTAAACAAACTCAAATCTTTATCACATCTGATATTATAATCTTCTATGTAAGTTTTTAAATTAAAGTTATTTCTATATGCTTTGTGTTGTTTTGACCGTTATTAAATGCGCCTATTCATAGCACAAAGCTTTCCCAAGCAAGCTTTCCCACGCCGAAATAAAAATAAACATGAGCAAATTTTTACCTTATAATGCAGGAAAAAACCCAAGCAAGCTCTAGTCTATGCTTAAGTGTTAACATTCTTACTTTTTCTAACCTTATTTCTCAAAACTCATAGTAGCCTCAAGAAGTTTATTGATCCTGGTCCTTATATTTCTTGCCATATTTATAACAAGAGTATTTACAGGAATGAAGTAGTTGACATATCTTTAGACTCTGTGTAATTTAGAACACAGTTATAAATACTTAGTTTATGGATTGACTCTGCATCCTGTCATCTTTGAGCCTACCTGATCTTTCCTGGAATAAAATAATATATCCTTGAGGTCAAGATCCATAGTTCCAGAATATTCTCAGCCATCTGGTTCTGCTATAGGGTAAAATTAGACTGGAAATAAGACAATGTTAAGTAAAAAGCTCCTTTTGCCCTACCCACCTCCCAAGGGCTCCATTTGTAAAAAGAGTACAGATCAGAAATGCTACCGCTTTCCAGGGTACCATCCCACTGTTAATTTCTTCAGTTTTTAAATGGGGACAAAAATATCTGCTTTATTACCATTTGCAGAGGTGATTTACAGATTTAATGAGAATATATCAAAGTACTTTATAACTTGCAAAATATAAACTTACATAATGCTAGCCACTTTGTATTGAGCATATTGTAAATTCTGGGACTATTACTGAAAACTTTACATATACAGTACTACTTCTTAATTCTCAACACATCCCCACAGTTGTTATAATTACATTCAATGTATAAGTGAGTTCAGAGAAGCACAAAAAGGTTGGGTGATTTGTTAAAGGTCCAGCTAGAAAGGGGCAGAGTCAGAATTCAACCCAATATTACTTCCAAACAGAGGCTTTACTTTTCCTTTCTACTCAGAGGTAACACAACAGCATTATTTAACGACCTTAAAAATGGTGGGGAGGAATCACTGAATAACCTGCTTTGACAAACACCCTGATAAAATCTATGCTTGTATTTTAGAACCCCTGGGTTTCACACATTGTTTTCATAGTTTTTACACATCAAGTGTAAGGTGAAAAGTGATAAATTTTGAGAACCAGTAATATGGTATGCCATACCACCAAAATTTATATCTTAAAATTCTATTCAACTTGTATTTCCAAGCATATAAACAAATCACAAATAACATGAAAACCATAAAGACTTCCTCTGCTTTTGGAAAATAGCTGAGAAACAACAAAATGCTTTTGAGAAATAAAGAAAAAATTTGTTTTTATAGTGTAGCTAATATGCCCTCATTAGGCATTAAGACACTTTTCTGTTTGTAACCTTAATGCAGCCATAGTTTTACTCTTTATAAAAATCAAGTCTCTCAATAAAAACAGTATCTTACTAATCATTAAATTGCATCACTAAAAATGTAGTTATACACACCAATTTCTAACCTTTCAGACAATTCTGCACAACCAATTTTAATCACTGGAATGAATAACTGCTCAAAAAAGCAGTACTGCTTCACTTGCATTATGATTTGGTCGTCAATATTCCTGTTTGCCAATAAAAGGGAGATTTCATGAACAGAAACATTGGGCTCATTATAGTTTCATCGATCAAGAGAACGTTTCTGAGCAGCTTCTGAGCAAACATTTCTTAATAGGTTGATCACAGATCTGGGGTCTTCACTCCTCATAATAGCACTGCCAGACACAATCATGTTAGCTCCTGCCTGGAAGAAGTAAACAGTTAGGTTTCTCAAAGGAAAATGTCAAAAAACCTAAAACAGAATTCCTGGACTATAGTGTCTACCCTTGCATTTACCAACATTTCAATCATATTCGAGAGCCACTTTGAGATTAAGCAATCTAGTTCAATAAGGAAATTTAAAATGTTCACAAATGAGGATGTGAGGTTATTTTTAAATGTGTCTAAGAAATCATTGACGTTTTTGGTAAACCAACTCTTAAAGGTATTATTGCTACTCTTAAGCCTTTACTCCTCAATTCCACTAAGGTTTTCCCAATATGCACCAATGCCTCTATAGTTACTTAAAGACAAATTTTAATCTTTGAATTATATTTATATGAATTTGTGAGTGTGAAAGGACAACTATTGCTAAAATGTGAAATTATCCATAAACTATGGCAAAATTAAAGTGATTTCTCATTTTTGTGTCAAAAAATGGAATGTCTCTTTATACTTCATTGCATTCCAGAATGTTTTTGAAGTAGCTTTTAAAAAAGTTTTTAAGGTACTTTTAAATATGAAAGCAAAGAAATTAAAAATAAAAGCTAATAACAATGGGTCCAAATTTAACTCTAAGCTTCCTAGGATTTTATTTTGAGGACAGAAACCCAATCTATTATGTGATTCATTGCTAGAACATAGAGGGAGAAGTGGAAGAACCACGCAGGCTAAGGAAAATTTTTCCGGACAGACACTGTCACTTTATGTGTGACGGCATTTCAATATTCCTCATAGAAATTATAAAGGTGAGTTTTATAGGGATAACACTGCATGTTTCTCTTTAGTTAACCCATTTATGCCTAGTGTTCCATTAACGGAACGCTAACCTTTTGGGAGTTCTTTATATTCTACTGTTTAAGGTCATCGCCAAGGTCTGATTTTTCACACAAAAAATTTTGCGACCTCTGGCATAAAAGCAGGAATAGTATACTGGCAAAGCACAGTTAAGTACAAAGCAATTCCACAAGCAGTCAAAAGAACAGGCACTCACTGATCATCTGGCCAGCCCCTCCTGCATAAGTATTGACTACTATCAAGCTTTTGATAGGTATATATCAAGCAGAAAAGTGTGGCAGTTGTACTAGAACCTGGAAGTAGATACACCACATTATTGAAGAAAAGCAGGTTGTGTGAGCTTTAATCACCTGTGGTACTACCAAAAGGCTGGAATCCTCAAGAGCCCAACTATGCTAGACTAGCTATCTGAAAAAAAGTTTTAAAAAGTTTATCTTGCTTCTGTATAGATGGCCAAAGAGGTATACAGAGAGAGCCAAAGGGGTATCCAGCCTAGATTTTCATCAAAAATGGTTTTGGCAAGTTCTTACAAGGAACAACTAAGTAATATCTAGGTTCTAAAGAATAACATAATAATTAGGTCAATTAGATTTCCTTTTTTCCCCTTTGGTAAGGAGGTATCTTTTAATTCCATATTTTAGAAAAATTTCTCACTTCCGAAGCCCTGAAACTTAATGCTCTTCCAAAGGACTGAAATTCAACATATTCTTTTTTACAAAAGAACTTTCTTCAGCCTTCCTGAGACAATCAGGATTTACTATGTAACAATCTATGTGATTTTAGAATACTGTATCCACTTATGGGCCAGACACAGTAGCTCACATCTGTAATCCGAGATTTTGGGAGGCCAAGGCAGGCAGATCACTTGAGGCCAGGAGTTTGAGACTAGTCTGGCAAACATGGTAAAACCCCATCTCTACTAAAAATATAAAAAATTAGCTGGGCATGGTGGCAGGTGCCTATAATCTTAGCTACTCAGGAGGCTGCGGCAGGAGAATTGCTTGAATCCGGGAGGCAGAGGTTGCAGTAAGCAGAGATCACACCACTGCACTCAGACCTGGGCCACAAAGGGAGACTCTGTCTCAGAAAAAAAAAAAATCCACTTATAGCTTTTTATTTTCCTAGTTGTACATGTAAACAAAAAATACTTTTCCAAGAAAGAAAAGTCAACTTAGGAACCATAGAAGAAATCACTGGCCCATGAGACAATGTCCTAGAGACGTATTTGACAGGAAATTGGTCTAGTCGTAGTTGAAGAGCAATCTCACCTCTGCACACTTATGGACAGTGTCAGGACCTACTCCACCATCGACCTCTATATCCAAAGATGGGAACTGGGTCCTCAACCAGTGAACCTAGATATACATGAGGAAATAAGTAACTCCTGAAGTGGATATGTAGGGTGGGTGGGACAACCAAATAAACAAAAAAATCCAGTAGCCAATATTAGCCATTAAAACTCCAACTGTCTCACATAACAATATACCAATTACAACATTATTACTGGGGAACACTTGGTTTAATAGCAAGCTTTGCTCTGTTTGGCAAACAGCAATCTGTCATGTCTTTGCAGAGACTGTGTGTCATGGAAACAAGACGAAGATAAACCCTCAATAGTCAATGACAACTTCCAAGAGATCTAAAGGTTACAGAAATATTAGTTTCAAAAGAAAATTTCAAGATTGCCAGGCATGGTGGCTGACGCCTTTAATCCCAACACTTTGGCAGACCAAGGCAGAAGGATAGCTTAAGTCCAGGGGTTCAAGACCAGCCTGGGTAACACAGTGAGACCTCCTATTAGAATTTGTAACAATTAGCCAGGCATGCTGGTATGCACCTGCAGTCCTAGCTACTCAGGGGGCTGAGGCAGGAGGATCTCTTGATCCCAGAAGGTCGAGGCTGCAATTAACCCTGACTGCATCACTGCATTTCTAAATAGATGAAAAGAAGCCCGGGTGACAGAGAAAGACTTTGTCTCAAAAAAAAGAGAAAATTTCAAGATAAAGATGTAATATGTTTCGAATTTCCCAATCAGAAATCTATTACAGCATTTATTACTTTGTTTTAGAACGATCTGTAAGCATCCCCATCTCCTCACCTTCAGAATAGGTTATATCTAAATATATAAGCCTTTCAATAAATGCTTGCTGAATGAACACAAAGTAAAAGCCTCAACACAAAATCAAATACTTCTTTTACCTTTGGCATCATATCTTCCATAAATTTCTGCCCTCCAAACCCCGGTTCCACTGTCATAACCAAGGCCATATCTATTTGATTAGCCCATGGTGCCAAATACTCAACTGAGGTTCCTGGTTTGATGGCAAGGCCAACCTGTAACAGAGACAAATATGCTATATCACATTAACAATTACTTCTGTATTAAGTTATTGTGGCATAGAAGGCCCAGTAGAACTATCTATTCTTATTTCTAGAGAGTTAACAAGACTATTAAATGTAAATATTTCCAATAGGCAGTAGCTTTCAGAAAACATTAGTGAAATATATAAATGCTATTTACAAAGAAGTTAAACACTGGCTTCATAGCTGAAGAACAACTGCTTAAGTCAGGTATTCTTTACCTGCAATGGGCCCTGACTAGGCTGCTGAACTTTAGCCTGAGCAACAGAGCAAGACTCTGTCTCAAAAAAAGAGAAAATTTCCCATTTCCAGCAAATCTTTCCAACTCTGAGAGTGAATGTTACAAAACACTCTCATCACTGATTTCTTACCTTCATCCCATTCTCCCGAATGTCTTTAATCAAAGCCCCTGGGTTCTCAGTAGCCTCGAGATGAAAGGTGTACTGATTGGCTCCTGCGATAGCCATTGGCTTTACCCACTGTTCTGGCTTGGACACCATCATGTGCATGTCTAGAAAGAAAAGACACTTCAAAATATCACTGAAAAATACCTGGTTCATGTTACTGGAAGCCAATCTGCATGTAGTTTTTGCCACTTCGGATATGAACTCTTTGGGCATCACACAAATCATTATTTAAATAGTTATATTTCAGTATTAGGTAGTTTCCTCTTATGTGAAGATAGGATTTATTTAAATTCATTTACAAAAAAAAACTACTTTCCCACAGAAAACATATAGTGCTGTATAAGAAAAGTTAACTAACATCTAAAAACCAGGAAACCTAAGTCCAGGTCCAGGAAATGCCACTCTAAAACACTTAAAGAATATGTCATATTATCTGTGCAGGCTAGTTTCCTCTAGGAAAAATTAAGTGATTCTTTTCATTTATTCTTTCAATTTACTGAGCAGAGACTGCACCATTAATTATTTTAGGTCCTAAAGTTAGAGCAAAAACATGAAACTCTCCTGTTATAGGGATTACGTTTTTAGTGGAAGAGTCAAACAACAAACAAAATAAGTAAATAAAATATACACTAGGCTGGCAGTTAATATGGCTGGTGTGCCTGGGGAAGGAGATACAACAGTCAGAGGTCAGGGACGCATGTGGTGAGGAGAAAACCTATGGCATTCTGAGGCCACTGGGAAAAAACACCACAGTGTAGTGACAAGATACGACTAAGGAAGCTACGAAAGCAAACCCAGTTGAAAAATGATGGAGCAATTCAGAATGGGTATGTTCTGAAATAAAAGCAAAGAGAGCTGAGGATGGATGAGATGTGGAGGATGAGAGGATCCTCCATGGATGGATGGATGAGAGGAAAATAAAGATGGTGCCAAGGATTTTGGTCTTATCAACTAGAAGAACAGAACTACCATTAATTGAGAGGCAGAAGACTGCAAGAAGAACAAATTTAGGGAGAAGGACACGTTAACTACAAGAAACCTGATATTCATCCTAATTCAAAAGATTCATATAAACACCTAAGGTGAAAATGGACATGGACTTCTTAAAGATCTTGACTTAAAACATAATACCATTTCATGGCAGTTTAAAACAAGCTAAACCAAGAAATAACACCGTGAAGAGTTCTGTGTTTGATAGATGGTAGAGAGGAGAAGTTTTGAGTTTTTTGTTTTGCTAGAGGAAGCACATTTCTGTCACAGCCAAGCTATATTTAAGAAAAATAATTCCAACATTCCAGAACAATAAAGCCTTGGGAAAAAAGTCAGAAAAAGAGTATAAAGTTTGACTAATAAAGTCAAGATTAATGTTTATATTTCTAATCCAGCAAAAGTAATTATATGAGAACATATTTTAATTTTTTAAAAATAGAGATGATGTCTTGCTGTTTCCCAGACTGGTCTTGAACTCTTTGCCACAAGTGATCCTCCCACGTTGGCTTTCCAAAGTGCAGGGATTATAGGCATGATCCACCACACTGGCCTAAATTAGAACATATTTTAATAGGTAAAACTTTATTCTTAAAAAATGTATTAAATCTGGTATTTCTTATTTCTTTGTATTATAAGTGAGGAAAACTCAAGCTGGTTTAAAATACCTACTTTATTCATTCCTTAAGTTACCAGACTGTTAGCTATGTCATTCTTACTCTATCTCTAGCATCCAGTAACCACTAGCAACCCTCAATGGAGAATTTCTATGGTGTTCAGGATGTTAATGGTTCAGCAAATCTGTGTATAGTTAACGTAAGATCAGCAATTCTCAAACATTCTCATTATCAGGCTCCCTTTCACACTCTTAAAAATTAACAACTCCACGAAACTTCTGTTGATATGGGTTATATTTATAGATATTTAACGTATGAGAAATTCAAACTAAGACATTTTAAAGCATGCAATTTTTAGCAGGTATGATGGCCCACATCTATAATCTCAGGAGGCTGAGGAGGGAGGATGGCTTGAGCCCGGTTTGCGACCATCCTGGGCAACACAGTAAGACTCCTTCCCAACAACAACAACAGAGTAATTAGCTAGGCATGGTGGTGTGTCCCTGTAGTCCCAGCTACTGAGGTGTAGGGGGGAGGAGGGAAGACTGCTTGAGCCCAGGAAGACTGAGGCTTCACTGAGCTATGACCCCTACCACTGCACTCTAGCCTGGGCGACAGAGCAAGACTGTCTCCAAAAAAAAAAAGAAAAAAAAAAAATCTATTGCATATTAATTAAGAGTGGCATTATTTGTTTTACATTTTTGCAAGTCATCAGTGTCTCGCTTAACAGAAGATACCTATGATCTCACATCTGTTCTGTATCCAATCTGTTGTAATACAGATGTCCCATGACTTACAATGGGGTTACATCCCAATAAATTCATCCTAAATTGAAAATACTGTTGTGTCTAACTGCATTTAATACACCAACATACTGAATATAATAGCTTAGTCTAGCTTATCTTAAATGTGCTGAGTGGTAATTTTATAAAGGCTAGCTGCACTGTGCACTCTGTAAACCATATCAATGAGCTTTTCATTTTTTGTTAGATTAAAACCCATTGTTTATCTTATATTTTGAATGGGTCTTTAAAGTACTGATTTACTGAGTTATATAAATCTTACAAATAGTGACAGATCTCATTCCATAATCCCCCAAAACCACATTTGTTAAAATTACTACAGATCTCATTAGAAAAACTGTTAACTGTTGGGAACCCACAGTGGTAAGATACATAAGTTTTTCAAAATCCTACCTTTGGCAACAAAAACTAACAAGGTATCTTTCCTCGAAGAGACAGACTCAACTTAGTATTTTTTAAAATGTTATGCCAAGTCTGAAAAAACCATAGTTTATCTGTCAGTTGTTCTTTCAAATAAATAAAGATAGTGTTCAGGAAGAAAGTGGCTAGTTCAGATCATAACTCTATGGTGCAAGTGGTTTTCCTTGAGGAAATCATTATGTTCCAGTATGCAGCATGGCAGCACAAGTGCTTTATATGCACTTCCTACCTTGTCACACAAAATATTAAAAAGACCTGTATTCAAGGTCCAAGATTTATTAAAATTAGTTTGTAGTGCTTCATCAAGGATACTTGGTAGCAAATGCATGATAATGAAGAATATGACGATTCCTGATATAGTGCCTGTCTTGAATTGGGTTACGGCACCAGCAAACTAACTCATCAATGTTTTTGTACCATCAGTAGAAATAATGGCAAGTAATTTCCTAGTATTATGAAAATAGTTTTGATATACTTTCATGGATGATGTGAGAAGTGTCTTAAGGATTTATATGGGTCCTTATACAACATATTTAAAGACCACTGATTTAGACAGTAACAGAAATAGACTTTTTCCTATTTCTGTATTTCTTAGATGGTTATTTCTACTCAATATGAAAACGGAACAGTTAAGAGTGTTAGCATTACACATACAACATGTAATCTAGGTCCTAGGATATATTCATTTATCAATTATCCAACAATCAAAATCCAAGAATTAACAAATGTTTCTTAATGTAAAAAACAAAGCAGTTGGGTTCAGTGACTTACACCTGCAATCACAACACTTTGGGAGGCCAAGGCAGAAGGATGGCTTCAGCCCAAGCATTCAAGATCAGCCTGGGCAATACAGGGAGATCCCATCTCTACAAAAAGTAAAAAAAATCAGCCAGGTGTCGTGGCACACACCTATAGTCCTAGCTGTAGCTGTGGCAGGAGGATTACTTGAACCCAGGAGTTCAAGGATGCAGTGAGCTATGATTGTACCACTGCACTCCTGCCTGGATAACAGACTGAGGCCATTTCTTAAAAACAAAAAAACAAGCGTCACAAAACCCAAACATTAAAGTGCATGGAGTTCATTTATCTTTTGGACCAAACTCTAGAAAGAGTAATTAGTAAGTTTCAACAAACTAAAAACGAGAAGAAAAAGCAGATTGTGTGTGGTGGCAGCAACATAGGACTGGTAAAAGGAAAGGCACCGACAGGGAAGGATATAGACAATAGTAAGGTGTGATGATGGGAGCCCAAACAAAAGGGATTGAAAAGGAAAAAAGAAAAGCATTAAAAAAAATTCACACAAGAAAGCCAGAAGCAAGGATTCTGGCCATTGATGTACAGTGGGAGCAAACAATGCTATTTATTTCACCCACCTCTCACGGTCATGAGAACAACTTTAATTCATAGGAAAGGTCATGGTATCTGCTATATAAGCTAATTGTGGCTTCAAGAAAAAAGTTTAGATAATCAGAGGACTATATCCCATTACATGGAAATTTCAAAATGGGGAACATATTGGTGGAACACTGTTTCTTCATGCCACATAAATGAGGTAATAATGTACATTTTTTTTGGTGCACTGAAAATAGATGAATCCTATACAGACCTGGGGGTGGTATCCAACAGAATTTTTTGTGGTATTGGAAATGTCCCATAGTTGCACTATATAATATGTGACTACTGAAGACTTGCAATGTGATTAATGTGAATAAGAAACCAAATTTTTAAGTTTATGTAATTTTTTGAGATGGAGTCTCACACTGTTACCCAGGCTGGAGTGCAGTAGAACAATCTTAGTTCACTACAATCTCCGCCTCCCAGGTTCAAGGGATCCTCATGCCTCAGCCTCCTGAATAGCTGACATTATAGGTGTGCACCAACACACACAGCTAATTTTTGTATTTTTTTTTTTTTTTTTTTTTTAGTAGAGATGGGTTTTACCATGTTGGCCAGGCTGGTTATGAACTTAAGTTTATTTAATTTTAATAGCTACATGTGGTTTATGACTACTATAGTGAACAGCGTAGAGCCCTTCATAAAATTGGTCATCAATATGCTAATTAAAAAGAATCTAAGTTCTACTAAATTCTAAATTACATTTAAAAAAAAAAAAAAAAAAAAAACACTACTTATGGCTAGGCGTGGTGGCTCAAGCCTGTAATCCTAGCACTTCGGGAGGCCAAGGCAGGTGAACTGCTTGACTCCAGGAGTCTGAGACTAGCCTGGAGCCCAGGAGTTCGAGACTAGCCTGGGCAATATGGTGAGACCCAGTCTCTATTTAAAAATAAGAAAAAAAAAACAAAAAAACAAAAAAAAAAAACACTATTTATAAAAACTTGTAAAATTTCTTATGTTTAAAAGACCTGGCAGGTGAGACATTGCTAACTTAGTAGAAATCACTTGTAGGCCACTAAGTAATTTTAAAAATGTTAATTTACATTGTACTACGACATTGGAGTGAATATTTAGGCACCACTTGCAGAAAGCTCCAATTCACACAAAACAAATGGCTTCTAGACCATGTATCAACTGATTCATAAATTCATTTAACAATTACACTGAGCCCTGATCATGACTATGCTTAGCTTTAGGAAAACCACAGTAAACATGGTAGATTCAATCCCTGCCCTCAGAAAGTTTATAGTCTAATAAAAGGAATCTCAGATCAAAGGAAGCTCTAAAAGGAAAATCAACAGGTGATAAGATAATTGGATAAACGTTACTTTGGGAGAGGGCAATCAGAAAGGCTTCTCTGAGGAAATAACAAATGACTTGAGGCCCAAAAATGAGGCAGCCAGCCAAGCTACTACGTTTCCAGGCAGATTAGCCAAGGCCCAGAGGCAGGAAGATGTTTGGCTTGCTACTATAGTTAAGCTAATGAAATCCCAGCACAGGGAAGCTGGGGAAAGGGTGCCAGATGAACTTGGAAGTTAAAAAACCAACAATCCAGTTTTCCTTTACTTGAGCAACACATCCAGTTTCAGATGGTGTAACACCCACTTACCAAAGAAAGGGTCCTGGCCTAGCTGCTTTCGAAGGCTTTCTACCACAGGGTGACCAAAGGTGATGTTGGGAACAAAATGCCTACAAGACAAACAAAATCTACTCTGAAAATGTTTTCAATTCAGTTTCTGTATCTCTCTTACTATGAATTCTGACAGGGATAGAGGGATTGTATGCAATGTTTTTCAATTTAATACTTAATCATCAGTATTAAATAATACTAAAAATACCAGGTCATTTTGGTTTAACTAGGTAATGTCTTCCTAACATTTCAACAAATCATGTCACATATATTTTCACAGTGATTTGACTCTATAATTCACAATCCATGACAGGTAGAAATGGAGACATGACAAAATAAAAAAACCTCAGGTTTTATGACTTGCCCAAGTCACATACTAGTTAGTAGTTCTGGACTCCTAACATTGGTCTCCTGAATCCTAGGTTGTCACAGGGGGGCTGTGGCTACTTCTAATCACTTCTATCACAGGGTACTAAATGACTGTTTCTTTAAACTGTTTTAAAGATGACTAGTAAAGAAACATGATGTGTTTATTAATAATGACCACCTTTCACTGAGGGTTTACTATATGCCAAGCACTGTACTTCCTTTCATCTTCCAACAGCCTTATAAAGTAGATGCTATTATTATTCCCTTTGAAGAGCACAAGATAAATAAAATCCTTAAGTAACTCAGTTAATAATTTGTGAAAGTGGATTCAAATTAAGTTTACCAGCTAGGTGTGGCGGCTCACGCCTATAATCCTAGCACTTTGGAAGGCTGAGGCGGGCAGATTATTAATAAAAACTTGAGGTCAGTAGTTCAAGACCAGCCTGACCAACATAGTGAAACCCTATCTTCACTAAAAATACAAAAATGAGCCGGGTGTATTTTTACCAGTGTGGTGGCGTGCGCCTGTAATCCCAGCTACCTGGGAGACTGAAGCAGGAGAACTGTTTGAACCCAGGAGGCGGAGGTTGCAGTGGGCCAAGATTGTGCCACTGTACTTCCAGCCTGGGCGAGACAGCAAGACTTCGTCTCAAAAACAAATCAAGTCTACCAGACCCAAAGTACTTATCCTTTACCCTAATCCAGTTAATCTTTTTGTTCTATCGCTAGTTCACTTAAATATTTAACAAAACCTCCTATATGCAAGTAGAATACTAGGTGCTTCAGAAAACTGTTTTGTAAAGAAATATGCTACAGTTCCTGTTTATCCTAGGAGTTTACAATCTCACTCGCAAGATATGACAGAGACTGACAGCTAATGACTTACCAGATGACAGAGATCGGCAGCTAAATGACAGCTAATGACTCAATGATTTGACAGAGTTGACATCCCCAGTTCCCTTTATATCCAAGTGGCCCATGTGACTCTCACTACTAGACTGTGAGTGCAAATGATGTGTCATTGCAGAGTCCAGAAGGTTAAGCAGAATTCCTTTCCTATTGCCACTTTACCCTTCTGCCAATAAAGCCCTTACAGAATGGCAGAGCCACAGGATGGAAGAACACTCACACCAAACTCTTAGAGGGATGAGAAACTAGAATGCTAAGCTACTGAAGTCTGGCCTTGGTTAAAGTAGCAGGTATTATCCTATATGAGGATTATAAGAAAAGCTATACAATAACAGGCAGGCAACATGTGATTATAGATAAAACACACATAAAATAAAAGCAAGTATTAGAGAACGTTAAGAAAGAAGTTGTTCATGAGATTTACAAAATAGGATTTAAAAAGAAAAATGGAAAAAGAAACAAAGGTAGAAAATGAAGCAAAAGCAGAAATAAGTTATATTCAAAGACGTGGAGAGTGGTTATGACCAACTTTGGCTAGTGTAAAAAAGAAGGGAGGTAGGTAGTATCAAAAGGTGTCAAACGCCAAGCTCAATGTCTGGACTTCTGTCCTGCTGTACATATGCAGTAAGATCTTAAAGCAAGAAACATTAATAAATAAGATAGAATGGGAAATAAATTGCAAGAAGGTAGGTAATTGCAACTGCCACTTGATAGGCGGCAAGGCACACTATGAATGACAAGGAACGGCAAAACTGATCGGATCTGTTAAATGATTAGGTGTGTGGGAGGGGAGTTAAAATACAAACTATGTTTAAGATCTTACACTTAGATGAGAGGTAGAATGAGTGTTAATAAAAACCAAACTTATATGTGGGCCACACAAAGTTCTAAAGACTTTCTAGATATTAAATCATTAAAACCTCCTAACAACCTTGTGAGGTAGGTACTTTTATTACCTGTATTTTACAGATGAGGAACAGTGGCCCAAGGTCACACAACCGGTAAGTGCTGGAGACAGGAGTTAAACATAGGCACTACGGCTACAAAGTACAGGCTCTTAACTACTATGCTCATCTGCCCCTATAATGACAACTAACAAACAAACACAAAACGGGGAAAAAGTCCAGTGGGAAAGAGATTCAACAGAGAAAGGTAAGGATTCAGGAGACATCTGACAGGGACAGGTAAGGTGGATGGGTACAGACACTTTCACTCAATAACACCTTGGTCTTTGGAGGTTTAATTTCTATCATTAAAAAAATTATTCTACCATTTGCCTAAGCCATGATTGTCAGGGCTGTGGATAAGATGCATGTGTTTATTTAAAACTTGAAATAAGGGTCAGAGAAGCAGGCACTAAGGCCTATTGAATGTTTTACAACTCTGGAATTAAAGATTTCAATTTCACATACTGTTCTTTTAATTTGCTGTGTCTAGGAAATAGTTTTGTTGTCTTAACATTAGGTTTCATTTATTATGAAAATAAAAGTATAATAACCACCTCCCAAGTAAATATGGGAACCAAAAAAAAACATACACTTTTGAGAAAACCTAAACAAAACGTATAAAAATACTAACCCTAAAGTTATGTGACTTAATTTGTGCTTTTGAAAATCAACTCAATGCACTAGGTTCACAAAGCATATCAGAAGAACAAAAATGCACAAGCAGTCTCAAAAAAACCCAAAGGCTATGCTAAGCCATAACAAAAAAATGGCTACACTCCTAAGCATGAAGTCAGGGTGTCCCAAATTTGCCAAACAGTAACCATGAGAGCAGTTCTAATGTATTTACAGTCTCTACCTCAAGCCTACTGACTCCAAAGAGGACCGGGAATCTGAATTTTTAACAAATGCTTGAGGGAGTTAACAGACCAGTTTGGAAAACAATTATTTCACTTTAACGGAGAGAAACTTCATTAAAAAGTCTGCTTCATCATTATCTTATTCTGCCTCTTTTTCCTTTATTTTCTGGAGTTAGTTAAGTCTGAAAGAAATAAAATACAACAAAAAGATATCCCTTTCTCCCAAGGACTTACTGCAATTAAACTATAATTGTTTGTAATACAAGGATACACTTTTCTCTCTCATGTTCCATCATTAGTCCTAAGCTTTACTTATGTAATTCTAATGCAGTCTACTGCAGACAGATCAAGCCTTTTACCTATCCCCCAACAAGGCAAAGATGATAAGAGGAGAATTAGGGTCAGTATAAAAGGTATAAGACTGTAACAAGAAAACAATCTTATTGCTAATCGGGAATCACAAACTGAAATGCTGCTGGGGGTTAGCAGATAACATTAAAGAGCAAAACAGAGCAGACAGGGAAAGGGGCCAAATGAAGAACACGTGGCATGACTGAAGGTGGCGCTGCCCCATACAGCTCCAGCACATGTCACCTCGTAAGACTGAGGGCCCAGTGCTGCCAAGTCTTTAGATTGCTTTTTTTTTTTTTTTTTTTTCCTAAAAGTCAGAAATCCAGTATTAATATGAAATCTCCCCAGTTTTAAATCCTGGTAACTAATTTAGAAATTATTTGCTCTGCCCCACAGTTAGGGTGAACACTGTCTTGTCATGATCTATTTATGTGTTTTCTAGTTTTTTTTCCCCCAGAAAATCCACTTGTTCTTTGTTTCACATATCCAACCATGCTAGTGCTCCATCTTTCACAGTACTCCCACAACTGGTTTCTGACTTTCTAAATGAAGAAATTCAGTTGTGATCAGGGGAAACTGAAGGTGTTGGTGGGGAGGAGGAGACTAGAAAACAACAAGCACATCCAAAGTGTAATGCTGGATGAGATTTTTAAAAGGGGTCAGGAGAAAAAAAAAACACAAAGGCAGTCTTGAGAGGGAAGGTACATTGTGGTTGGTCACCTTTCATAGGAAGGAAAGAACACAGCCCACTTTCATAGCCCTAGCCTAGGAGACGCTGCAGCACATCACATAAGGGCACTGGTACCAGCTCTGCCAGGTTTTGCCTAATCTGGTGAGACATCAGGGAAGAAGCTGGTTTCCTCCTTTACAAAAGGGGGAATACAAACGGCTCTTAACTTAGAGTGTAGAGAAGATTAAAAGGGAAATAATTTTAAAACTGTGTATGCGGAATTCAGCTTTTCCAAACCAAAGTATCTCCTGGCAAAGGGGAAGAGGAATCAATAAAAAACAAATACTTTATCTTTTTATTTTTTTGTTCCTCAAACTCTGATCCATGGTGAATATTTTATTGAGCTCAGTCTGCCATAGAGCTGGGAGTGGATAAAAGTGACTCCTTAGAGACTCCTCCTATTATGATTAAGCAGTTCATTCATTCAGCCAATGATAACTAAGCTCCTTATGGTGCTTTTCTAGCAAAGAATACATAGGTGAGCAAAAAGAAAATAAGCTTGGCTTTCAGGAAGCTTATAGGGTAGCAGGAGAGACATGAAATAAGTTAACAAGAATAAGTATACAAATTATTAGCTGCTTTTTTGAGGCCAAAGAATGTCTTAATCATTCCCTGTACGCCTAGGACCCACAGAAAGCATTTAATTTGTGGGACAGCACAAGCTGTTGCATTACTTCCAATCCTGATTCCACCATTTCCTAGTTACGAGACCACTGGCAGATGACTTAACCTCTCTGTACCCAATTTTTCGCTGCCAAATGCTGGTGGTAATACCACCACCAATTTCAAACAGTTGTGTGAGTTAATTCACACACACATAAAAATCCAGAATAGAAATAGCCAAGTGCTTTTAAACATTGCTATTATGGTTATCATTAATAGTCCTGACTGGTGAACTGAAACAATTACTTTCCCCAACCATTCACTTACTCAAACATGGTTTAATTAAAACCAGACTGCTTTCTGTGTCAAAAAGACTCACAAATATACATGCAGCTTGTTCAATCCTGTGACCCCCCTAGGTGTTTTCTCAGGCACAAAAATGTAGCTACTTATCTTTGAGGTATACACTCAGTGTCACACACACCTGTGAGAGTTTAGGGCTTTCAAGCACAGGTGTCAAAAATAAGGTATATAAATAGAATTACATATAATGGCCAACTAAAAACCAACCTTTGTGAGAGGTAATATTTACTAAACTTTTTACGAATTTAGCCTATTATTCTTAGTACTCTATGGTCAAAGTTTTGTCTTTATCAGTTGGGTGAACTAAGATAACTGGGTAAAATGCAAAAGAGAAACAATACATTTAACCACATAGAGCAATGAAAAACAAAACTCTTCAAAGTCAGATGAATATTAAAAAGAAAAGGAAATTATCATCTTTTGAAAATAACACCAATTTGCAAACTGAATGAGGGAATAGAGTTTTTATCTATTTCAAATAAATTTATTTTTCCATCCCCATCCAAGATAATGGCATTTATGACTTTTATAGTCAGTTAAAAGGGGGAGCTCAGAGAAGGACTTGGCAAACCCAGGAAGAGCCAAGTTGAAAGTCTGTTACAATCTTCTGTAATCCTGAGAGAGTCTTACTACTTTCTCTGGGTTTGTTTCCTCATTCTATAACCAACTTCAGAAACTAATATCCTGATTCCAAACAATATTAGGTGCTATAACTACAGTGCTTAAAAATTACTTACAAAAAACTGACCTCCCTGAAGAGCAGGGTGCCTGAAGAGAAAATAGGAAAATCAGAATTTTAATAATGATGCAACTAATAATTATAAAGAACTTAATATACGCCAGGCACTGTAAACTTTACATGTAATTGCTCATTTCATCTTCCAAAGATGCCTAAGCGTTAGGTTCTATTAGCAGTTCCATTTTTCAAATTATGAAACTGAAGCTCAATTAGGTTAGTGGCTTGTCCAAGGTAACCCAGGAAGTGACAGAACTCGGGAACCTCAGTGCAGGTGCCAAGTTTAATCGTTACAGGAGTCTGTCTCCCAGCTTTGCCACTAACTAGCTATATGAGCTTGGGCAAGTCATGCTTCTCCCCTTGGGCCTCAGTTTCTCTAGCTGAAAGTGAAGAAACGTCCTAAAGATTTAAGGTCGCTTCCGGGTCCTAAGTGATGGAAGACCACACGTTACGTGGGGGGAGGGGAAGGGCTGAGATTTGGGACCCGGCCGCAACCCAGGATGCCGCGTAGGGTCCGCTCCTGCCAACACCGCCAGGACTCCTACCCCATTTCCTTTCTAGCAACGCATTCCAAGTGAGGCGCTCGGTGGCACTGGGACGCGGTACATCAACAGGCACTCAATAAAGGTGCGCTGATCCCGCCCCACCGCGCTGCAAGCCCGACCGGAGCCCGGAGGAGTTACCCGTCCATTACATCCAGGTGCAGATAATCGGCCCCAGAGTCTAGCATCCGGAGGCACTCGGCCCCTAAATTGGCCAGGTCGCTGTTGAGGATGGACGGGCCAATTTTGCAGCCAGACGCCATACCGCAGGTTCCGAAAAGCAAGTTACCCCACGAGTCGCCCGGCAAGACTAGCCGTCGCCCCGATTGGGCGCGCAGTTTTGGCCCCGCCCCTTCTCCGTGCAGGCTTCCGGACTCTACCGGAAGTAGCCACTCTGCGGTGAGGAAGTCCCGCCTCCTGCTGCGGTGAGGCGCTGTCAGCTGCTGTCCTAGAGCGGGGCCTGTCAGCGGGACCTCGTCCTCCTCCTTCTGACCTTTCTTCTTAGGCTGTTTGAATCTTTAAGTCCTTGCAGTACTCAAGGCGTTTCTTAAGCTTTTTTCGCTTTGCTTCCCCTGCAATCCCCTGTCCTCGGCTCTGGACTTCACATCACTTTTTGTTTCTCTACTGTTTGCTGCGAGTTCCTTTCCTCTCCAGCGCCTATGCTGGCCCTTTAAAACAACAATAAAAACCTTGCTCTCTCATATTTCTTTTAGAGCTCTTCTTTTGAGCTGGAGGAAGCCTGGCTCTGCCAGATAGTAGCTGGGTGACCTGGCAAGTCACGTCCTACTTCGGTTTTCTCATCTGCAAAGACAGTGCCCAGCTTTAGGTTTGTGAAGATTGAGTGAAGCCAGGTAATGCACCCAGCAGGATGCGTGGTGCTCAGTACAAAATGGTAGTTATTATTACCCTCTTTTTCTGCCTCTGCACTTACTCCTTCGTATTTTCTGTTGGGGCTCAGAAAATGATACCCCAAAGTGAAGGCCTCAGAGGCAACAGTGTTTCTCTGACCTCCTGCCCCGCCTTTAGTCTCAATTCTCCCAGGAGGCAGGTCATGGAAACTAGAGCCCCTCTTCCCTAACAAGAGCTATTGAAACCAGAAACCCTTTTCCCTGAAGCCAGCCATAAAACTCAAAAGTGTTACTCTAATTTTCCTCTACCTTTCTGTTTAAAAACTGGCCATAAAGAAATTATTTGATCTACCTCGATTTTAGGTTATACAACTCCTCTTCTAGAAAAGCTTCTACCCCATATCCAGGAGGAGGGTATGCTGCACAGAGAGGCCAGGAATCTAAACTAGAATGGCCGTAAGTCTATTAGCATTAGATCGCCTATTTTGTCCAATCATATTTCTACATGGCTGTCTATACTTTGTTGAACCTAAGTATAAAAATGGGTAATCTCCCCTCTACCTTTGGGTCTTCATTCTCAAGGCTCCCGTGCCAGGTAAAACTATGATCAAGTAAGTTTTTAGCCTTTTCTCTTGTTAATTCCTCTTTTTGTTAGTGATTTTCAGCAAAACTTTTGGGAGGGTGAAGGGAAAGTTTACCCTTGGCCCCTACACCTCTCCAATGCTCATTCACAAATTGCGTAGGTTCTGAACTGTTCACACACAGTTCAGAAATGGGTAAGAGTATCCTGATGCTAAATATGCCTAAGGTCAGGAAAAGAGAGAAGGGGGAAAAAATGAGGGGGGAAAATGGAGTTAGCAAGAGCAATCTTTGGGAGGAAGGATAGAGCACTTTGTATAAAAGACAGAACTTGGACTACATGGTGTTTCTGGCCAGATTGTGAGGACCACCAGATCTTTAACAGTCCCACTGGGAAATCTACCAGTTATTCCAGTAGATTAAAGCCTGGGCAAATAAGTTTATTTTTATTTTGAAAGTTAGATTTGGGCCAGGTGCAGTGGCTCACGCCTGTAATCCTAGTAGTTTGGGGGGCCGACATGGGCAGATCATCTGAGGTGAGGAGTTCAAGACTAGCTTGACCAACAAATTGGCCCTGTCTCTACTAAAAATACAAACAACAAACAAACAAAAATTAGCCAGGCATGGTGGCTCATGCCTGTAATCCAACTACTCTGAGGTAGGAGAATTGCTTGAACCTGGTGGTGGAGGTTACGGTGAGCCAAGATCATGGCATTGCACTCCAGCCTGGGCAACAAGAATGAAACTCCATTTCAAAAAAAGAAAGGTAGATTTGGAAAGCATGAGTAGAGTAGAGCTAGTTTGTGCGGAAGAGTGATAGGGAGTGTTTTGGAGGTATCTAATTGGATGGTGACCTCAGGCCAGACTGGGGAGGTTGAGGATGGCCAGCAAGGCATTAACAAAGGCATACCCCTGGATCTAAAATGAACATCTTCCAGAATGAGTCAACCTCTTCCCCACATTAAGAATGAAACATACACATCCTAAATATTTTTAGACTTATTTTATTATATGTGCATACCTAAACACAGAAGTCTTAATATCTTTCATAAATATCTTTCATAAACATTTCAGTATTTATTCATATCTATTTTTTCCATGTTCTTTGGTCATTCAGTATTCATAATAGACTTTATAGTTATCTGAGGGAAGTCGGCTGTGTAGTCAATCTTTTGTTTTTACCTGTAAAATGGCTAATAAAGGATTTTCATCCTGTGGTCACAGTGACGATTCAAAGATTTATGGAGGTAAATTGATGTGTAATCCTAAATGATCCTAAAACAATATAAGTAAATTTGCCTTAAGCTTTTCCAAATACATTCTGCCTTCAACTTGTTTTTATTCTCCTGAGTGTCAAATCAAAATTTGTTTCTGAAATGCTGCAGCTGAGACCCACTAAATTAACTGAAGTGGGACTTTTTACTCACTGCCAAGACAAGGCCATGGAATTGGAAATGTAAGGTCACAGGGCAACAGCGTGACTTGGTGTGATAGCAGCAAATTCTGGAGACTATGTTCTATTAAAGTATCCTTTATAACTGGAGGAAGGATATTTAATTCATGTTTTGGACTGTAATTCTATTCATTTATGACCCTTTCTTCCCTAAAGGTCCTTACACACACCCTGTTCTTATCTCAGATACTCTCAGAGCTGGGCAGCAGGGTGTAGAAAGTTCTTTGTTGACTAAAGGAATATAATGCTAAAAAAGAAAGGAGCTATCACCTTGTGTAAGGTACTCTTGGAGACTTGAAACAGCAAACCAGTTACTCCCAGCCTGTGCAACAGGCCCTAACCAGATCACCAGTACCATAGAGTTTTCTATCAGCACTGCCATGCCCATTTATGCCTTTTGAATTTGACATTGTAGTTCTCAGTGCCTTGTCTCAATGCACTCAATAACTCAGTTTCCTTTTTAGAAAAATGAAATAGCTTATCTAATAGAATTCTAGAAAGCTGCAAATACTGAAAAATGAAAGTAAAATGTTTTGCTATAGGAGATCCTACATCCAGGATTTAAACTGTTTTAATTGGATCTGAGTCATACTATCACGGATAACACATGGTTTAGTCCATGGTCTCTCAAAAGTTAATTTCAGAAGAAGCAACCTTTTTGTTGAGTCTTAATTTTTTCTACGTGGGAAGTGGGTACCTTTTTTTATTTTTCCTCTGAATAAGATAAATATCATTAAGTATCGTGGCTTAAGAAATGATCTACTATTACAAACACTGTATTTATCATATGTAGTAATTAGCTTTTAGTCATGTACTTAATAATATTTTGAACATTTATCTTGAACTTTTTTCTTATCTTCCCCAACTTTTTTTTAATAGTTATTCCTTTCAAACTCCAGGTAACAGTATTCCTGAGAATACATCTTGTGACAGTTTTATGCACACACATATAGATACTTTAGCCATTACACATAAACATTCAACACATTACATTCAACACATTTAAGGGCACCTTAAATGAAACAGATGCATACATCTGCAAAATTTCAGTAGTTCCAGTATGAAAACATTCCTACTCTATAAGGCCCTGTTTCTCAGAGTGGAGGCTTTTTTGCAAGCTACAACATTGCTTAGCTTATTGAAAGTTTCTAATAAGACTTCCATACACAAGAGTGAAGGAGTCAGGCTAAAAGGCAGACGGACCAGCATAATCATGTTCAAAACAGCCCAATACTTTTTAAATATAAATAAAGGTATTTAGGATTCTTGTTGGATATTTAACAATCTTTGACGTCTTTGCTATTTAAATATTTCATACAATTATACATAGATAATTTGAATCAAGAAACTGGAACAAAGCACACACATATATAGAGACTCACATAGCCCAGACATTTGTAATTACCAAACATAAGGCCTCTAATGCTAATTGAGCAGCATAATTTTTAACAGGTGAAATATATCAGCTTGGAATCATAAAACCACTTAACATTTATATTCCTGCACTTGAGAATTATTTCAGCTTTAACTATAAATAACATGAAAATATTGTAAAACACAAAGGAGGTCATTTACTGCCTCAATTTTCTGAATTGTTAGATTTGAAATTTTTAGTTTTGTTCTTTTTAACTCATGGATATCTTTAATTCTTTTAGTGATAGGACCATAACCCCAAATTATATTTGAAATTATAAACCACAATATAAACAATGCCTATTTAATAAGCAATTCTAACAAAAAATAATGTTCCTTTATGATTAAGGTGGGTTTAGTAGGTATCCTCTTTATGTACATATACATTTCACAGTCAACACACTCAAAGTTTAAGCATACAGAATGTGTTTTAAATTCATTGCAGGGTAATCAAAGTCTGTATTTAACTTCATCTTGAGGACTAAAACACACACACACACACACACACGCAAGCACACCTATACCACCACACCAATTTAAGTATGTATATGAGTTTGTATATGCCTAGTTGTTAAGTAACAGTTTTCTAATGTAAACTGTTAAAATTGTGAAATTCATTTGTGAACCACATGATGCACAGCCCTGTGACAAGATTAGTAATACATTAGGTGTTGACCTCACAAGCCTTCTAAGTCTTACACTTTTCTTGAAGTAACTGAACTTCAAGTTAAAGGCCTGTTTGTAAAATATATAAACTAGAGGTGTCTATGAAGAAATTGTTTACTTTATACGTTTTTCCTTATAAACTTAGATGTTCCAAGTATCATAAGAATATTGTCTCTATTGAGAAAACGTTATTTTATTAAACTGATTCTAGCAACACTAACCTTAATATCTGAAAATATGCCCTCAAGGGCAGGCACAGGATACGGTAAGGAAAAGTATTAATAATCACATTTCCCAATAGTTTCTAATCTTGGCATTGATGTAGTCAGGGCTAGGAATAGGAATACCATCTCTTTTAAGTGATTATATTTACATTTAGGTTTTATAATTGTATAGGCTGTTTAGGTTCTTCTTAATTCAGAGTTATTTTCTGATGATTTCTAGAATATTCTCTAACACGATAGATTATGAAATGGGATGATTATGCCATCTGCATTTTGATCTACAACATGCAATGAAAACGACAGTTGAAAAATAAATATCTAAAAGTCCACAGCTCTATATATAGTATTTTTTTTCTTCTTCTAAACGGCTCTATTGTTAATCAAAACAAAAATGGCTGCAGGCTTGTTATTTAGTATCCCCAAAGTAAATATTTTTCTTATTATTTTTTATGTAAATTGCTACTTGTATAGCCAACCTGAATTAATATTTTTAAAACTATAAAAATAAATATTTGCATGAGATGTATAATGTGAGTAATCTCAAAAAATTGCATTCTATTTTTAGACCATATTATTTGTTAATATTTCTATGAAAGCAGCACTGAATAGTATATATTTTTTAACTGCTGAAGGCTTCTTGAATCATAAACAATGTGCAGTGAAATGGC